AAGAAGAAGAAGAAGAAGAAGAAGAAGAAGAAGAAGAAGAAGAAGAAGAAGAAGAAGAAGCAGCAGCAGCGGCTGGATGTAGTAGTTGCACATACTTTTAATTCCAACACTCAGGAGGCAGAGGCAGATGGATCTCTGTGAGTTTGAGGCCAGGTGGCTGTACATAATGAATTCCAGGACAGCTAGAACTACATTGTAACATGAGGGCCTACTTGTTGGTGTTTCTGTCCTGCCCACTTTCCACAGCCAGTAAATCCCAGAGAAAATCACACAGAGAGTCTGCATTGGTTATAAATTAAAGCCCATTAGCTCAGGCTTCATATTAGCTCTTATAACATATATTAACCCATTATTCTTATCTCTGTTAGCCACATGGCTCAGTACCTTTTTCAGTGGGGCAGGTCACTTCTTGCTTCTTTGGTATCTGGACAGGACTGCAGATGGAGCTTCCTTCTTCCCAGAATACTTCTGTTCTTGCCCTGTCTCTACTTCCTGTCTGGCTATCCCACCTATACTTCCTGCCTAACTACTGGCCCATCAGCATTTCTTTAAAACATAATTGACAGAATACAATTGTCCCGCATCACTACATAATGGGATCTTGCCCGGGGACATAAGAAAGTAAGACAATATAAAGAAAGCAAGCAAGCATGTGGGTAGAAACCTATTATCCAATGTTAGAGTTTGGCAGTGAGAGACAGGATGATCCCTGTGGTTTACAGCCCAGCCAGTGTAGCCAATTTGTAAGTTCCTGGTTCAGTGAGTGAGAGATCCTGACTCAAAAACAAAACAGAAAACAGAGATAAAGAGAGGGAGAGGAGAGGAAATGAGAGGTGGAGGAGGTACCAAGTATCAATCTCTGTCCTCCACACACATGCACACAAACCCCTACCACATGTTTATAGAAACATACACATACATATAAAACCCTACACATACTTTTACAAATATACACATGCACAAAAACACAGGACACAGAAAAGTTCCCATTTAAGTTATTTACATCATTTTCTCATGTGTATTAAAGAGATATTCTTTGTATTTAAATACATAAGAGGTTTTAAGAATCACCAGGAACTGCAAACCTCAGTAGAAGAGCACTTACCCTGCACATGTGAAACTCTTTCTTCAGTTCATGAACAAAGAAGAAATAAATAAAAAAAACAAAAATCACCTGAAAAGTACACAACAAATTGGACATTAGAGATCATCCTGGGGAAAAAAAAGCCACGGAGTGTGTTTTAAGCACATCTCTGTTGCACATCTTTCTCTCTGCTGCCTGGACATTGGAAGTTACACTTTCATGGCTGCTACATCCTCCTATATGTGACAGAAATATGAGTCTGGGGAGAAATGCATCATTACATGTTCATGCGTAATATTGCCACCAGACTCCAAGCTTAAAACCATACACTTTTATTATCACACCTTTGAGGGCTGTTATGAGTCAGAGAATAATTAGATGATTTATTCTAAAGAGTGTCATGGAATGAGGCCCTTTGCAGGTCTACCTGGTCTGCAGGAGTTTACCAAGTTCATTTGTGTAGCTAAGTTCTCCGTTCCTTGTCAGTTGTGGACTGGCTGTTCCTCTGAGCATCTTGATAGGCTGTCTTCCAATAAGGAAAGAGTAGGGGATAGGCATATGCATGTTGGGGCAGTGAGGGCACAGATCACTTACTCAAGTGTAGCCTAATCTCACAGCTGATATACCATTATTCCTGTCCTATCATTTGTTCATGCAAAACAAGGCTTTTGGAAGGCGATTTCCACAGATAACAACTGAAAGTTAGTACTCTTCAAAACTCCAAGTGGATCAAAGACTTCAACATAAATCCAGTTACACTGAACCTGATAGAAAAGAAAGTGGGAAGTAGCCTTAAATGCATCAGCACAGGAGAAAACTTCCTTAATAGAACACCATAAGCACAGACACTGATATTGACAATAAATGGGACCTCATGAAACTGAAAAACTTCTGTAAAGCAAAGGGCACTGTCAATAAGACAAAAGGGCAGCCTACAAAATGGGAATCTACCAACTCTACATCTGACAGAAGGCTGATCTCTAAAATATATTAAAAAAAACTTAAGAAACTAGACACCAAAAATTCCAAATAATTCAATTTTAAAAAATGGAGTAAAGATCTAAAAAGAAAATTCTCAACAGAAGAATCTCAAATGGCCAAATATACTTAAAGAATTGCTGATCATCCTTAGTTGTCAAGGAACTGCAAATCAAAACGGCTCTGAGATTCCATTTTACAACTGTCAGGGTGACTAAGATCAAAAACACTAATGACACCTTATGGTGGAGAGGATGTGGAGTAAGGGGAACAGTCCTCTACTGATGGTGAGAGTGTAAACTTGTACATCTGCTTTGGAAATCGATATGGTGGTTTTTCCTGAAAATTGAAAATCAATCTCCTTCAAGACCCAGTTATATCAATCTTGGGCATATACCCAAAGGATGCCCAATCATATCACAAGGATACTTGCTCAACTATATGTTCATAGCAGCATTATTCATAATTGCCAGAACCTGGAATTAACCTAGATATCTCTCAACTGAAGAATGGATAAGGGAAATGTGGTTTATTTACAAGATGGAATATTACTCAACTATAATAATTTTTAGGCAAATGGACAGAACTAGGAAAAAAAATCATTCTGCATGAGATAACCCAGACCCAGAAAGACAAACATGGTGTGTACTCACTCATAAGTTAATATTAGGAGTAAAGTATAGGGTAACAAACCTATAATCCACAGCCCCAGAGAGGCTAGATAACAAGAAAGCCCCAAAGAGGGACACATGGATTTCCCTGGGAAGGGGAAACTGGAGAGATCTCTGGCTAAACAAGAGGTTATGATGGGGGGTGGTATGGAGGGATGGGAACATGAGGGATCCTGTTGGGCAGGATAGGCACAGGAGGCAGGTTGGGGTGGGATGGAGGGGTAGAATAATGAAAGAGAGGTCTTGATGGGAGGGAGCATTTCAGGATTAGAGAGAAACCTGGTACCAGGGAAATTCCCAGGAATCCACAAGGATGACCCCAACTAAGACCCCTAGCAGTAGTGGAGAGAGTCCCTGAACTGGCTATC